CCGCCGCTCGCCGCTTGTCGTCCGCCACATCGTCGTTCTCTGAGTCGACGCTGTCGTCTTGAGCGGCGATCGGTGCCGGTACGGGAGCGGGGAGAGGTGCGGCAGTGGTATCGTTGACGCGAGCAGCCTTGTTTGCGCGGGGAGCAGTGACTTCTTTCTGATTTTCGATTTTTGCAGGTGCTGAAATATAGTCGGAGGAAGTTGCGATTGTAGCTGGGGCGTGCTGCTGTAACATCGAGAGCAGTGCCTGCATCTGCTGCGCAGTGAGGGACGCGAGGGGGTTGACTGGGGCGGCTTCTACTGGGGTCGCTGCCTTCTGTCGCTTCTGCAGAGTGGGCCCCGGTTGACCAGCGTCGCCGTCCGCGTCAGCCGGCGTTGACTTGACCGGAACGCGCGGCTGCCTGGCAGCCACACGCTCGTCAGCAGGAGGCACGCGCGACTGTTTCACAGTCGCGCGTGCTTCTTCAGAGGGGGCTCGGGAGTTGCTCCCGAGCAGCACTTCGACGCCTGAAGTGCCCTCGCCGAAATTATCTTCAGCAGGGCGTTTTCCGCGGCGGTCAGGTGCCCCGGGCGCGTTCGCATTGTCCGCAGCGTTATTCGGGGTAGTGTCGGCGGGAGCCATGTTCGCCAGGTTGTGTTGGAGAATGTCGGTAAGAAGGGTCGACGGGGACTTGAACCGCGGGAGAGATTGCGTCTTCGCAAGGATGAACGAGAACTAGAAAGTAAAACTAGAAAATGGAAATGAAGAACGTGGGTGGAGCTACTGGAATCACGTTCCTCTTTTGTAGGCAAAAGAGGGGTGAGTAGCGTCGAGCCGCTACCTTTGCTTTGCTGGCCACGCCCTCGCTTTCACAATACGAAATTTGAAAAAGTGTTACACTTTTACAAATTATAATATTAATTTAAGCCCATCATACTAGACATAATATTGTATCGTGGCCCATCATAATATTAATTTAAGCCCATTTATGGCCTGTTTTTCACCCACAACCCTGTTTCAAATCGACTCGATTGGGTGCGCAATGACGCGAACCACATTTTCGTGCTAGTAGTTTAAAATTGTATATTTGTTTATTTTATAAGCACATGCGCTTATATTTTTCACTCAACTATAAGCGCACCCCCGTGAAAAAACATGTTTTATTATAAGCGCAGGTGCGCTTATATCCGGGGTGATACGGTATATCATTACTCTTGAGACTTGAGTCTTGAAAAATATCTCAAGGGCTTTTCTCAGCCCAACACATTAGTCATAACATAACAAACAATACTCGCACTGTGCTAGTCATATGCATAATATGTAATTCATCCCTTTTCCTCCTCCCCTCCCCCTCTCCCTCTCCCTAAACCTTCTCCCTAACTCTACCAGATCCCCAGAAACTTCCACCACAACCCGCCCACACCAAGCCAGATCACCAGATTCACCACGCTGCAGATAAACCCGTAGAACCACCAATCATTGAGTGACACGTACCCCGACCCATAGAACGGCGGGCCGGAACCAATCCCGTAGTGCGTGATCCCACCCATGAGGTTCGACATGAAGGAGAGGACCATGGCGGCGAGCAGGGGAGGCGTGCCGAGAGCCGAAGCGACGGAGATGAAGGCAACGAACATGGCTCCGATGTGAGCAGCGCCGGAAGCGAAGAAGTAATGCGAGTAGAAGTAGAGGATGACGAGGAGTCCGAAGGCTGGCTGCCAGGCGAGACCCATGGAGGAGACGAGCTGGTGGGTGGGGATATGAGAGTGGGGGAGAGTGGGGGGAATGGGAGAGGGGAGTGGTGGAAAGGATGATGAGAAGAGGGAGTATGACGGCTGGTCATGCAAAAGAACGGTGGGAAGGGACGAGAGCCAGGAGATTGGGAAGTAGACCAGGAAGTGTGCGACTGGCTTCCCTCTTTCCCTCCCCCCCTCTCATTCATAAGCACTCTATCTGTCTCGCATTTACGTTCACTCACATTGACAACAGTCTGGCTGAACCAAGCAATGAGGCCGTATTTGTTGAGATAGTTGGCCATGGCAATGAGAGCAGCAAACCACGTGAGTGTGTCCCACGCGACGCCCTCGCCCAGACACTCCTTCCACGTCACCACGCCCGTGATCAGCAGCGCGCTGAGCCCCATGATGGCTGCGGTTACCGCGTCGATGCCCAACACGCCGCCGCAGACCCACAGACCCACCTGCAGATGGGGAAAGGTGGGAGGGACGGGGAAGGGAAGGAGCAAGCGAGACCGAAAGGTATTCTTGAGACTTCCTAAAAAAACACTCGATTCTTAGCACAGATTCAGTGCACGGATGGCCTTTTTGTTTACAGCTCTGACCTTGCAGCTTTCCTAAGTCAGTGCTTCCTGATCTGGTCAGCTACATGCCACACCTGACTACACCGCATTCCATCACCACACACACTCAGGCACCGTTCCGAGCAGCACGCCAGCCATGATCTTCTCATTCGTGCTCATCGGCCCCATGCTCGTCCGTTCCCCTCGCGCGCCACATACAGGCATGCAACCCTCGCAATATTAACACATTAGCCTGTTTTTAAATTCGCCTCAAAAACATATTAACACATTGGCGGTATCAGCTTACACACCCGCCTGCACCTCGCATCACCCACCGTCCCGACCAGCACGCCCGCCACGATCTTCTCGCGCGCAAGCTACACGCCACGCGGCCTGTACACTGTAGTTGAGACTCGCTACATTTCACCTCACGACACTGCACCACTGTGAACACACACGCACTGGTGCACCAATGACCTTATTCACAGACCGTGCTGACCAGCACGCCAGCCATGATCTTCCCATTCGTGCTCATCGGCCCCATGGCCGCGAGCTTCTGGTCTGGCCGCCTGCATGCCACGCAGCCTGTAGCAGAGCCTTGATGCATTTCACCGGATTACACCGCACTATACCACAATGCACAAATATGCACCGTGTCGACCAGCACGCCAGCCATGATCTTCTCGTTCGTGCTCATCGGCCCCATGGACGCGCGCGCCACATACGGGCGTGCAACAAATACAAACACACTGGCGGCATCAGTTGACACATTGTGCCTGCACCTCGCATGACTCACCGTGCCGACCAACACGCCTGCCATGATCTTCTCGTTCGTGCTCATCGGTCCCATGCTCGAGAGCTTCTCGCGCGCGAGCTTGGGCGCGTCGGGGCTGGCCTTAATCTCCGGCGGGTAGATGACGTAGAGCAGCGCGGGCATGACGGCGAGCGAGATGAGTCCGGGCACCAGCGCCGCCTTGGCCCACTCCGTCCAGCCTATCGTGTGGCCGATGGCGCCCGCCGCGAGATTCACGGCGAGCGGGTTCGCCGCCATGCCGGTTAGGAACATGGCGGAGGATACGATGGACGTCTGGGGGGTGGGGGGAAAGGTGGGGGGGAAGGTACGCAGATGCTATGAATGGAGCCGTATTAACGAGCGCGTTCGCCGCCATGCCTGTGAGGAACATGGCGGAAGAGACAATGGACGTCTGGGGGAGGGGGGGAGGGGAAGGCGCGGGGGGAGAGAGGGGGGGGGAGCGGGAAGGGGGAAAGGGAAAGGGAAGTTGGGGGACGAGAGGGGAACGGGGGACGTGAGACACGAGAATGTTTAGAAATAGGGACGTTAGTGTTGATATTTGGACCGCCAAGGATTCAGGAAGGTACCTGGAGGCACCATGAATTTACGAAGCTACCTGGAAGCACCGTAAGTGAAGGAACCTACCTGGAAGCAGGTCAGCACGAGCCACGAGCCAAGCTTCTTCTCGGTGCCGTCGTCCGTGCGGCTTCCGCACGCCTGGCACAGCGCCTTGAGCAGCGGAAGGAAGATCCCGCCCGCGCGCGCGGAGACCGAGGGGATGGCGGGCGCGAGCATTGCTTCGGAGAGCACGAGGCTGTAACCCAGGCCGAGCGACGTGCTGCCGAAAGCGGCGACGAACTGGTAACCAACGCGGTTGCCGAGACCCGTGTTGATGAAGCCCTTGGCGAAGAAAAATGCGAGCGCGATGAGCCACGGGATGGGATCGCCGAAGGAGCTGCGGAGCGGGGGGGTTGGGTGGGAAGGGGGTGGGGGAAGGGAGGGGAGTGCGGGGGGGAAGGGGAAAGAGAAGGGGGGAAGAAGAGTGCGAGTGCGATGAGCCACGGGATGGGATCGCTGAAGGTACTGTATTCATATAAAAGCTTGTATGTTTTTGTTATAAAAACTTTGCCCTCACACACAAGCGCAAGGTGGTTCACAATCTTTTAATTAAACGCTTCCGCTACTACATCATCCTACCCTTGAATTTTGTCCTGCAAAGATCCTAAGGGAATTTTCAGCCCAACAACCGGAACTGTACCTCTGCAGGGGTGCAAGGGGACACTGAAGATGGCATGGCTCGCTCCTCCAGAGATTGAATTTGAATGCATAGGCTAGTCTAGCTGGTGTGAACCCGGTACGGCACTTCTGAGGGGCTGAGGGAGGGCACTGCAGATGGCATGGCTCCATTAGTTGGCTGAGTAGCATGCAGCCTGCAGACAAAGCATTGTTGCACGGATTCATTAGAGTGTATTATAAGTGTGTGTTCTGAAGAGGGAACACAATTAAGGGGGCTGCAGGCTGAAGCTTAGGGACTCGAACCAGAAAACGCTATGGTGGGGGAATACATTCACACATAGGACAGCAGGCGCCCGAACCCGTAGGGCATGGCAGGAAGGGGTGAAATGGGTCACACACATGCCGTCCTTATTTGAGTGAGTAGCCCAGAATATACTCACACACACATGAGAGGGTTGCAATGAGGCAGACCCACACACACATGAGAGGGTTGCAATGAGGCAGACCCACACACACCCATGCAAGGGCTAAATAGAGAGATGTCGCACACACAGATCAGTGCAAGGGCTACGTACGAGGAGAGGCGGCGCATGAGAGAGCTGGGATGTGTATTTCGAGTCGACTCAAGGTGTATTTTGGGTTGAGAGAAGAAATTCACGTTCCACACACACACCGGTGCAAGGGCTACGTACGAGGAGAGGCGGCGCATGAGAGAGCTGGGCTGAGACTTGGTCATTGTGAGCGCGCGTGTGAGCAGGACAGCCGGATCCTCTGTTACACCAGGCAAAAAGGGGGCGGTGGGGAGGGATTGAGGAGGGGAAGGGGGGGAGGGCGGGTTGTTGGGACATCTCAAAAGGAGAGGCTGCGCATGAGAGAGCTGGGCTGGGACTTGGTCATTGTGAGCGCTCGCGTGAGCAGCACAGCGGGGTCCTCTGTGACACACCGCAGGAAACAGGGGGTGATGGGGGAATTTTAAGACATATCAGAAGGCCCTTGCGAGAAGAAGCAGCGCACGAGAGAGCTGGGGTGAGACTTGGTCATTGTGATGTGAGCGCTTGCATGAGCAGGACAGCGAGGTCCTCTGTGACTAGGGCGGGGAGGGGAGGAGGGGCAACTGTTGAGACGCTCAAAAGACGCTCGCACGAGCAAGACAGGGGATTCTATGTAATACAAGGCAGGAAAGGGGGCATTGGGGTAGGGAAGGGAGGGCAAGCGAACAACTTAAGAGACGCTGAAAAGGTGCTCGCACGAGCAAGTCAGGGGGGTACTCTGCAATATAAGGCAGGAAAGGGGGCGGTGGGGTAGGGACAAGAAAGAGGCGGTGACAAGCACGGGACGGAAACAAGAAAAGGGTGAGGCTGTGGGGAGGTGGCAAACAAACAAAAAGGAAAGGATGAAAAGAAGAGTAGAGGCTTACAGTGGGGTCATACGAGTGGAACCTTAGAAGTATTTCACATCGTAAAAGTCAAGCCCTGGCTGTGAGCTTGCTAAACAAAGAGACTCACACTTCACAGGCTGCAATGTAATGCGACCTGGCAACACTGCCATGCCCGCTGCAACCGCGGTCGCATGCATGTGATGCACTTCACGTGCATCACTTCACGTGCATGTGATGCGCTTCACGTGCATGTGATGCGCTTCACGTGCAACCCCGCTTGCATGTCATCCACCAAGCTTCGTGTGTAGTTATTCGAGTTTTGAGTCGACTCAAAACTCATCCACCAAGCTTCGAACATCACCCACTCGCACATGTCACCTCACCTGCTTGACTTGTGAGTCAACTCGTGGGTCACCTCACACATCACTAATCCGCGTCACCTTTGATTTGCTGTCGAGGCTGGCGCTGGAATTGCTTGGGCGGCGGAATGACAATGGCGGCGTCAATGTTGTCTGGTAGCCCTCTGTGCCGCCCGAGAAGCATCACGAGGATGACTAATAACTTAGAGAGTACCGACCACGAGCCTGCAGGGTTAAATTGAGGAGAGGAGATGAGATGAGAGGAGAGGGAAAGAAGGGTCATAAGGAACACAAGCCGGCCTCTGTAGCGCCCCAGCAGCATCACGAGGATGTCTAGTAACTTTGAGAGCACCAACCACGTGCCTGCAGGGTTGATGAGAGGAGAGGAGAGGAGAAAAGGCGAGAGGAGGAAGGCGAGCAGGGTCAGCAAGAGCACAGGCAGGCCTGTGGCGCCCCAGCAGCATCACGAGGATGACTATTAGCTTAGACAGCACTGAGGGAGGAGGGAGAAGAGGAGGAGTGGGAGCAGCTGTATGGAAGAACGTCTACGGTCCACCTGGGAAGCTGTAAAGGAAAACGTCTTTGGCGCACCTGGTTGCGGCATCAAGCACGTGCGGGAAAACCTCGCCGAGGCATGTACGTATTCTTTACAAAGTCTTACAAACATTCACAGGTGTTATTTCCTCAGGTGCTGCCACGTATCGACCCTATGGCACCAAACTGCTGTTCACTCGAACGCCTATGGCGCACCTGGGAAGGTGTAAAGCAAAACGTCCTTGGTCTACCTGAGAAGCTGTAGGGCGGAGCGTCAGTGCAATCGGGGTTGCTGGTGGGGCAGCTGTTTCCCAGAGACAGTCCCACGTTGCCGTAGGCACTGCAGTGATCGGGTGGGGTGGAGGGGGGCCGAGGGAACAACAACTGCTGAGGTGCCTTAAATAGGAATTTCCCAAAGGCACGCCCACAAAGCCATAGGCACTGGGGGTGGTGGGGTGGAGTGAAGGGGAAGATGGGGGTGAAGAAAACGGAGGAAGATGGAAAGAGCGGGCGATGGGAGCGGAGAGACTGGCCTGTAGGCACTGGATGGTAATGAGATGGAGCGGGGAAGGAGGGAAGACGAAGACCTAGGTACCATGAATCTACGTGGCTGGCAGAGACGATGCTTTAGGTACAAATATTTGAGTCGACTCAAGCTATCCCAGACCAGGGCAAGGAGGGAGCGCACCTGCTGATCTCGAAAATCACTTTGAAGACGGTCCAGTTGGCGGGGTCAGAATGAAGTCCCCGTTCTGGATGACACAGATGAGGAAGACATAGACCAAGAGGTACACCGAGTCCTGTGCCACCAGGTGCTGGCCCTGCCATGCCAGGAGCGCGGAAACCAGCACAGGACAAGTCCCGTCCAGGTGGCTTTGAGTCAACTCCATCTACACCAACCCAGGGCAGGGGGGGAGCATACCTGATAATCTCGAAGATCACTTTGAAGACGGTCCAGTTGGCGGGGTCAGAATTGAATTCTCCATTCTGGATGACACAGATGAGGAAGATGGAGACAAACAGGTACACCGAGTCCTGTGCCACCAGGTGCCGGCCCTGCGCCAGCACGGAGGAGTCGAGCACGCCCCCGTGCAGGTCCTCTGCAAACACTGCTAGGTCGTCGCTGTCGTGCACGTCTCGCTGCTCTCGGGAGGATTGACGCGTGAGAAACACCGGGTAGACTGCCACGTACCTGGGGTGAGGGATGGGGGAGTGGGTGAGGAGGGAGGAAAGGGGGGGGGGGGAGGAAAGTGAGGCAGGAGAGAAGTGAGGCAGGAGGGAGGAGGGTGGAGGGAAGTGAGGGATGGTGGGCCTAGCTGGAGTCCCCTACATGTTTCCCACTCCACGCCCCCATGCAGGTCCTCTGCAAAGACTGCTAGGTCGTCCGAGTCGTGCACGTCTCGCTGCTCTCGGGAGGACTGGCGCGTGAGGAAGACAGGGTAGACCGCCACGTACCTGGGGAAGGCGGGAGGGAGGGGGGAGGAGGGAGGATGGAGGAGGGAGGAGGGGGGAGGGAGAAGGGGGGGATGGTGGCTCTTATTGAAATCTCCTACTTGTTTCCCTGCACGCCCCCATGCAGGTCCTCTGCAGAGACTGCTAGGTCGTCCGAGTCGTGCACGTCGCGCTGCTCGAGGGCGTGCGTGGACCAAGGCGCGCGTGTGGACCAAGGCGCACGCGTGGACCAAGTCGCGTGGACCAAGGCGCGCGCGTGGACCAAGTCGCGTGGACCAAGTCGCGTGGACCAAGGCGCGCGCGTGGCGTGTGAGATGGGGGAGGGATGCGGGGGGAGGGGCGAGGAGGGAAGAGGGACAAGGGGGATGGTGGCCCTAATGGTCGTCCGTGTCATGCACGTGCCGCTGCTCTCGGGAGGATTGACGCGTGAGGAACACCGGGTAGAATGCCACGTACCTGGGGTGAGGGATGGGGGAGTGGGGGAGGGGCAGGCGGGACGAGGGAGGTGCGAGGGGGGAGAAGTATGCAAGGGCAATGAATGGGGGAATGGGATGGACGGAGGAGAAGAGTAGGAGAAGGGAGAGAAGGCAGGGGCACGGAGGAGAAGGTGGAGCAGGCAGGCACGAAGGGGGGGAACGGTAGGGAGAGGGCGCAGCAAGCAGCACGGAGTATAGCAAGGCCTAAATTGGCCTTGGTAAGTGTGGCAGGAAGCGTGCCCGGCTGTAAGGTAAGCCCTGCAGGCCCAGACTCACATGAAACCACAAAAGAGGAAGTTGGTGGCGGCAGTGAGGTAGGAGATGTTGACAATGGAGTAGCCTGCATTGCGTGTGCTCACGGACTGCATCCAGCTGTCAAAGAACTGGTACCCGCCTGGAGGGGGGGGAAGAGGGCGAGAGCGAGGGAGAAAGGAAAAAACACCAGGAGATGTTGACAATGGAGTAGCCTGCATTGTGCGTGCTCACAGACTGCATCCAGCTGTCAAAGAAACGGTACCCGCCTGGGAGGGGAGAGGGGTGATGAGGAGGGAAGGGTGTGGTGGGCGGGGAAAGTGGGTGACCATGGAGTAGCCTGCATTGCGCGTGCTCACTGACTGCATCCAGCTGTCAAAGAAACGGTACCTGCCTGGGACATGTGGGGAGGTGGTGGGGTGGGGAAGGGTTTGAAGGAAGGAGAGTAGGTGGTGGGTAGGGTAGGGGAGGTGGTTAAAGCAGCCAGAGCGTCTGCTTGTGGAGGGGAGAGGCACGCATTGCACTCACCTCCGAGCCCTTCAACGGCCTGGGTGTTCCAGTCGAGCAGCATGATGAAGAAATCTTGGATGGTGTTGAAAGCGACAATGGTGAGCAGCAGCCAGAGCTGACGCTCGGCTTACCTCCGAGCCCTTCAAAGGCCTGGGTGTTCCAGTCGAGCAGCATGATGAAGAAAGCCTGAGTGGTGTTGAAAGCGACAATGGTGAGCAGCAGCCAGAGCTGACGCTCGGCTTACCTCCGAGACCTTCAAAGGCCTGGGTGTTCCAGTTGAGAACCATGATGAAGAAAGCCTGAGTGGTGTTGAAAGCGACAATGGTGAGCAGCAGCCAGAGCGTCTGCGTGTGTGGGAAGAGCTGCGTGTAGCACTTGCGCGGATGGTCCATTAGATACCGCGTTATGTGCCTGGCGGGGAGGGGAGGTGGGGGGGAGAGAGGGGGAAGGAGAGTGGGAGGGAGAGGGAAGAGCTGCGTGTAGCACTTGCGCGGATGGTCCATTAGATACCGCGTTATGTGCCTGGCGGGGAAGGAAGACGAGGGGCGTGGGTAGAGGAGGGAAGAGAGGGGTGAAGAGAAGGGGGAATAGGATGCATGGATGAAAGGAAAACGACTTTCTCCAACAGCCCACAGCCCACTGGACCACTCACCATCGGCTGCTGTCCTTCCTGCTGGTGGAGTGCAGCAGCGCCAGCACGCCACGAAGCATCGGGGCGTACATGGTGTTGCCCACCAGGATGAGCACGGCCACCAGCAGCAGCAGCAGGAGGTGCTTCTGTCACCCCTCTCTCACCACGGCCCACAGCCCCACAGCACTCACCATAGGCTGCTATCCTTCTTGCTAGTAGAATGTAGTAGAGCCAGCACGCCACGGAGCATGGGAGCGTACATGGTGTTGCCCACTAGGATCAGCACGGCCACCAGCAGCAGGAGCAGGCCACCAGCACACAGAGCCCAATTTCTCACCATCGGCTGCTGTCCTTCCTGCTCGTGCTGTGCAGCAGCGCCAGCACGCCACGGAGCATGGGGGCGTACATGGTGTTGCCTACTAGGATCAGCACGGCCACGACCAGCAGGTAGGGCACGTTGCGCTGGAAGGGAATGAGGTTCTCGTCCATTAGTCCGAACCCTGCGTTGGCGAATGCAGACACGGACTGGAAGGCCGAGTTGAAGACCACGTTGATGCCCTTGCCTGGGGGGAAGGGAGTGTGGGAAAGGTGCAGAGCGGTTATTCTTGAAGCGCCCTGAAAAGCGTAGCGTGCACGAAGGGTGCAGAGCGGTTATTGAGGTGCCTTAGAAGTGTGCAAGAAGGTCGAAGAAGGGGTAGAAGGGATTTGAGCAGTGACAACCGATTTGACTCAACCGTCATGCAGCTAAGAGAGCAAGCCAGCCTGCAAGTTGAAGCTACTCGCCTGTGAGGAGGTCGTGGTATTCAGGCCACCACAAGGTGATGAGGATGAAGAGAATGAAGGTCGTAAGGAGGGTTCCAAAGAAATACGCGGGCACCAGCCAGCTCAGCAGCTCCAGGGCCCTGCAGGGTCGGAATTAGAGGCGTTGGGGGAAGAGGGGAGTAGGAGGGAAGCCCAACACAGTCTCTGTCTCAGCCAGTTCAGCAGCTCCAGCTCCAGCAGCTCCAGCACTGTGGGAAGAGGGCAGGGGAGGAGAAGCTCAGCACAGTCTCCATCTCCCCCAGTTGCTCCCATTCGACCCCCTTCCTCTCCCCCCTTTCCTCTCCCCCCCATTCCCCCACGCACACACACACTCACTGGAGCTCAACGAGTCGTCTCTCAAAAGGCGCCACTGTTTCCTCCTACCCGGACTGCTCCCAATCGCCCCCTGCCCCCTCCTCGCCCCCCTCCTCCCCATACCCATCGTCCCCCCGTTCCCCCACACCCACTCACACTGACCTGAGCTCAACGAATCGTCTCTCAAAAGGCGCCACTGTTTCCTCCTGCCCAGGCTGCTCCCAATCGCCCCCTGCCCCCACGCCCCCCTCGCCCCCCTCCTCCCCACACTCCTCCGAATGCTCCTCCGCAATCCCCCCACCAATCGGCCTGTTCCGACTGCTCGCCATGCTGTGAACAGCACTGGAGCCCCCCCTGGGGGGAAAGGCGGCCGCAGCAGGAGACTCATGGTGCTGCATGCTGCTGTGCTGCATACTGCCGTGCTGCATGCTGCTGTGCTGCGTGCTGTGATCATGCATGCTGTGACCCTGCGTGCTATGACTCTGCATCATATGGCTCTGCGTGCTATGGCTCTGCATGAACTGGCTCTGCATGGGGCCTCGGCCCGAGTGTGCATGCGCTACGGGTTCATTTGAAATCCGAGACACAGTGGTCAGAGCTCGAGACAGCTTCCTCTGCAGCCGAGTCAGTGGAGGATTGCTCCCAACCCCGCCGTCCTCACCCCCATCCTCTCCTCCCTCCCCACCGCCACCAGCCTCCCTTTCCCTCTCCCTCATTCTCTCCCACTCCGCCACTTCCATCCGCCTCTCCGCCTCCATTTTCCCCATGGCATGTCGGATAAACGCGTCGTTGTTCTCGCCTCGGGTCAGCACACTATCTGACCTTGTAAACGCAGCCCTGTTGCTGCGGCCGGGCTGTTCCCCGACGTCTGATGTCGTTGCCAGCAGTGGGAACGCGCCCTTAGCTTCCTCCTCTCGCAGGTGCTTAAAAAAATAGTGCCTTCGAATAAGAACCGGGACGAGCGAAGTGAAAATGGCACTGCCTATCATCATAAGCAGCATTAGCAGGACCTGATCGAATGTGGAAAAAACGTTCATACGGACGGACGCGAGGCCTGTAACGGTCAGTGCAGACGTGCAGTTAAAGAGTGCGTCTATAAAGGAGATTTTTCCCAGGCTGCCGGCGGGAGTGGCGATCATAATTAGCGCGGCGATAAGGTCAACTATAACGAAGGAGAGGAAGTGGATTCGATAAAAGGTAACTTGATTGCGGAGCCATGCGAGGAACGAACGCCCATTGACGTGCTTGAAACGGTGCCAGAGTCCAGGTGAATTCTCAGGGTGCTCAGGAGAGTTGCTGACGGAGACAGAGTGAAGCCAGTTTCCGATTTTGAAGCGAAGCGAGCCGCCTGAAGGGTTTGCCGTGTCTGACGTGGCCTTGATTTGCTCTTCCGCCATGGGAATTCTGCTTCCCCAGTTCATGATTAGTAGTTAAAACAATGAAGGGAGAGAAGAAATTTCATCAATGACTCTGAAAGCTACGCTTAGGAAAAAAAATCTAAAAAGAAGGGAAAAAAACAAACGAACAATATAAGAGTAGTGGGAACATCCTGATGGCATTGATTTGACGGAATGTGGTTTGCAGAATTGACACCAAGAAAAAAAAATCTAAAAGGAAGGGAAAAAACAAACAAACAAGATAAGCATAGTGGGAACATCCTGATGGCAATGATTTGGCGGAATGTGGCTTGAATTGACACCAATGGTGAAGACAACAAAACGCGAGAGCACGATAAGACCGTACCTTGGTCCTAATGCTTCGGTTTCGGTTTCTTCAACGTCCCGCGTCGTTGCTGTCGTCATTTAGTCACTTAAGAGCTAAAGTCTGATTTCTGCTATTTATGTTGACTACGCACTTCTACTGAGAACCCGACAAGCAAGCTTTTTCAGAGATAGTCGTGCCTTGCCTGAAACACATGACTGCCGATGCACCTGACGGGTTTCAGAACTAGAATTGCCAAGCACACATGCTCCCCATGGACATCAGGATTTAGGAGAAGGAAGATCAGAAGAACCAGAGCCAGAGTCAAGAGTTACTGTTTATGAACGTTCGTCACAGGTCACGCATGAACGTTCAGGCTGCTGCTGAGCAAAGCAGAAGTTCGAAGCTGTGAAGTGGTTATACCACTTCAAATCGTACTCAACCGAGACTGAGCTCACGACAAGTAATGTACGCGGCACGGAATTCTCCATTCTCATACAGGTACTGTTTCTACAACCCAGCTCAAGCATCAAATACACAAAGTATGTGATGTGACTACTGTACGCGCTGTGCAGAGGATAACGGGGTGTACTTATTCGATCTAGCCCTCCAACCTCGGATGCACACACACACATGTCACGTCGTCCTTATTGCACGTCGTTCTCACCAACGCGCACTCTCCACGGCGGGTGGGTTTGGGTGGGGGTCTTCCGTCGTCTCTAAGTGAGGGTCTCGATTAGGTTGGTCAGATGTTTTGCGATTAAGAGCGGTCCCGAGGAACTGAGAACGGCTCGGTAGAGTCTACGTCAGAGCTCCAGCCTTAGCCACCGTGTGGGACAAAGGCGTTGTCTCTTTCTGGCTGCTGTGCCTCTGACTGAACAGTTGAGTTCTAGTCCCGGATACAACTGTACAGTTGCTCGTTTTGGGCAGCCCGTTGTTCTGTAAGTGGAGGGTTGACTCCAGCTTGGCCAGCTTTACTGACAGAACGACGGTATACAGCCACCCGAATTACTCGACGAAAGTCAGCTCCCCAATGAAAACTTTGGATGAGAGTTGTGGTCAGGAAAATGTTCCCCACCCTCGCAGTCTTGGAATTGAAAACCTTGTTGGAAGCCCAAGCACGCAGAGTTGTGTGTCTGGGATTGCAACTCTTCGGTTAAGTCTGGTCTGTCATGGTCAGAAGTGGTGGTAACTAAGCACCCTACTCGACCGTGGTGAAATGAAACCACAACAACGAACCGCCCTTCATGACCAGAGCAGGACTTGCGGAAGCGTTTATTTCGCCTAATGTGTGAAGCCTAGCACGTCTTTACAACTCATCCATTCTGAGGCTGCAGCCTAGAATCTAAAGCAGGAAACTAGCGTCTCACGCTTTTCACGGGGTGCTGCTCCGAATGGAATACTTCGTTTGTGGTCCAACATTTCGTCAAACATCATCCGGCTTGCGGTAGTCGCAGCGCTAGCTAGTTACAGAAGTGGACGATTCAGGTTCTCTTGACATTGCGGTACGGCGCATGTTCTCGAATGTGTCGATAGTATTTAAGTTATGTCATTTCTACTGCGTCACTAGCACATGCTGAGCCGACGGGAGTCTGCAACCGACACTCATGCGTAAACGAGTTTTCTCTGTCAGCCCTACGCCATTGTTCTTGTGCCAACCCAACCATCCACATGGTCGGGATGGGTGGGTTTCCGAAGCAGTCGCGGTCACTTAGCACTGATGAGCGACCCTCGCAGTCCGCTCGTAGAGCCTCGCGCTGACTTTTTGTGAGTCGACTCAAAAGTCATGCTGGGTACAGTGGGACTGCCGAAGCTGTCACGGTCACTTAGTATTGATGAGGAACCCTCTCAGTCCGCTCGTAGGACCTCGCGATACAGAGACACGATAGATGAAGAAAAGAGAGAGAGGGAGACGAGCGGGCGAGGGGAGGTGACAGGCCGAGCAGCTTCACGAAATCTTAATCCGTCGCACAGCGGCCGTGCGACAACCACTGGCGACTCGAGCGACCGCGAGAGGGTATCCTTCCGCAGCGACGCGGAGCTCGATGCGCTTCATGGCTGCGGCAACGGCCATGGCTTCTTCTGCGTTCCCTGCCTGCAGCCTCTCATCTCCCGCGAAATGCGCTCCAACCCCTCTGACGCGCCTGACTCGTCTCTCACGCCTAACCCTTCCCGCACGCCTGATGCTTCCCCCGCGCCTAACTTTCTCCGCTCGCCTAACCCTTTCCGCTCGCCTGATTCCTTTCGCGCGCCTGATTTCTTCCGCGAGCCTGATTCCCTCCGCGCGCCTGACTCCTTCCGCGCGGCTGACTCCTTCCGCGCGCCCGATTCTTCCCGCGCGCCTGATTCCTCCCTCACCTCTCTCAGCTCGCGCAACTTGGCCGCTTCCATCGGGCCTGGCGGCAGTAGTCGGCGCAATCGTCACCGTCAGCAGCACGGACGGTCACGATCTGCTGCGGCGCTCGAGCCGATTCCGCGTTCTCCAGCGACATTAGCGGGGCAGCACTCTGCTGGTCTTCGCAGCCCCGGTCTAGACTCCGTTAACCTTCGCTCTGTCGGCAATAGTAGCCGGGGTGTGCAATCAGACCGTCCCGACTCTGCTGAGCGACAGGAAGCGTCGTCCGGGCGACTGGAAGCGTCATCGTGGCGACAGGAAGCGTCGTCTTGGCGACAGGAAGCGTCGTCTTGGCGACAGGATGCGTCTTCTGGGCGGCTGGAAGCGTCGTCTGGGCGGCTGGAAGCGTCGTCTGGGCGGCTGGAAGCGTCGTCTGGGCGGCTGGAAGCGTCGTCTGGGCGGCTGGAAGCGTTGTCTAGGCGACTGGAAGTGTCGTCTGATCGACTAGAAGGTGTTTTCGAGATGTTAGACGGAGAGGCGGGGCTGGTGGGGGAAGCGTCTGGGCGATCCGAAGAGTCGCATTGGCGACGAAGTGTCGCAGGCGACGCGGCGAGCGACAGGAGCGCGTCGTCTAGACTAATGGGAGCAGCGGAAAGCAGCTCGCACGGTGAGGGTGGTGAGATCAGACCGGACGGCCGACTAGACGACGAACATAGGGACGAAATCAGGCCTGACGGACAAACAGATAACGAAGTTGAAGATAACGGAAAACGTCAACGTTCTGGCAAGTGGGCATCACGGTTGCGAGTGAGGTGGGGGCCAGACTCACCCGACAGGGATACCCCGGGAGAACAGGGCAAGCCAAAATCACGGCTGCGAGTGAGGTGGGGTTCTGACTCACCCGACAGGGATACCCCGGGGGCAGCAGGAGAGGGCTGGGGTGGTATAGTTGGTGCGAGCAGCAGGAGCTTCAGGCATGTAGCAAGCTTTCTCCAGAATTCCTGGCGCCAGGATTTGCCTGACTCGCCTCCGAGTGAACGCGAGGACGAGAAGAGAGAGGGAATTGGGGAAGAGGGCGGTGGGAGCAGCGAGGAGAGCAGGGTGTTGGGAAGGAGAAGGGGGCGGGGATTGCGAGGGTTGCAAGGAGGGAGAGGAGGGAGAGGAGGGAGAGGAGGGAGAGGAGAGGACGGAGAGAGGGGAGGTGGGTGCTGGTCAAACCAGGCATGGGCTACGTACCTGAACCAGCCCGTACCTGCGAAGGTTGGGCCGGTGCCGTCAACCCCGCCTCGGAAGGAGGCCGGGCTGTGCTACGTGCTGTATCGGTGGGTTCTGGCGGCGATGAGGCGAATGCGCATCCCCATCATCCACCCATACTCGCGCTTCCGCCGTGATATCAACGTGCTCGTGGGCGCGTGCATTCTCTACAACGTGGTGAGCTGTTCAGGGGGGGTAGGAGGGGGGGGGGGGGGGAGGAAGGACTGGGGAGGGAGGGAAGGAGGGGAGAGACTGGTATGGTTGGGCGCCTGAGTAGTAGAAGGCATCAACGTGCTCGTGGGCGCGTGCATTCTCTACAACGTGGTGAGTGATGGAGGGGTGGGAGGAGGGGGGTTCAGAACATCTCCTAACCAGACACCTGCATTCTCTGCAACCAACACTCTGTAAGTTTTGGCGCGCCTCAACACTCTGTAAGTTTTGGCGCGCCTCAACATTCGGTAAGTTTTGGCGCGCCTCAACACTCTGTAAGTTTTGGCGCGCCTCAACACTCCGTAAGTTTCGGCGCGCCTCAACACTCTGTAAGTTTTGGCGCGCCTCAACACTCTGTAAGTTTTGGCGCGCCTCAACACTCTGTAAGTTTTGGCGTGCCTCAACACTCTGTAAGTTTTGGCGCGCCTCAACACTCTGTAAGTTTTGGTGCGCCTCAACACTCTGTAAGTTTTGGCGCGCCTCAACACTCTGTAAGTTTTGGCGCGCCTCAACACTCTGTAAGTTTTGGCGCGCCTCAACACTCTGTAAGTTTTGGCGCGCCTCAACACTCTGCCTGTAAAGGGCCAGGCGAGGGGTTGTGCCAGTGCCACGTGCTGTACCTGTCGGTGCAGTGCGGGGGTGCACTCTCCCACATTCTCTCCCATACCCTCTCCCACACTCTCTCCCACATTCTCCCCCACACCCTTTCCCACGCTCTCTTCCACAGGCGCGTGGCTCATGGTTGACTCAACCATCTCATACCCACCCACCCTCTCCCACACCTTTTCCCACACCCTCTTCTCTTCCATGTGTCCCTCTCACCCGCCAGTGGGAGATTCTCTTCCAGATCGCCTTTGACCTGCGCTCCACAGGCGCACGCATGCCACCTACAAGCCACCTCCTCCCACACCCTCTCACCCTCCCTCTTCCATACCCACTCCATGCTCCCACCACACCTCTCACCTCACCCTCCCGCCCGCCAGTGGGAGATTCTCTTCCAGATCGCCTTTGATCTGCGCTCCACAGGCGCCTGGCTCATCGTCGACTCAACCCTCTCTGCCATCTACCTCATCGACGTGCTCCTGGGCTTTAAGACCGGGTGAGCCCATCGCTCTCTCCAAACACCACTGCCCAGTGCCCACTTGCCCCTTCCTCCGCTCCATCCACTCCCTGACTCAACCCTCTCCGCCATCTACCTCGTTGACGTGCTTCTCGGCATCAACACCAGGTGAGTCCCTCTCTTTATCTCTTCCTATCTTGCATGGATTACCAGCTCACCTCACCCTCACTGCATGCAAACACCATTGCCCACACCCTCACTCCACCCTGAATCCCCACTGCAGGTATGTGACAAGGGAGCAGCATGTGCGCACAAGCGATGGCATCAAGATCTTACAGCCGCAGCAGATTGTTCTGGAGCAGGTGCGTTATGGGGGGGAGGGGGGGGGAGGAGGGCAGAGTAGAGGGTGGAGGAGATGGAAGGTGTGAAGTGAGTGTGTGGGAGAAATCGTTGGGCATCGTTGCTTCACAAAGGATGCCATAAAGTTCTTACAGCCGCCACAGGTCATGATTGAAGCAGCTGAGATGTTGGTGGGGGGAGGGTGGAGGGTGGGGGGAAAGGTGGAAGGGGTGCAATGAGTGTGTGGGAGGATGGGGCTGCACAGAGGATGGCATTAAGAACTTACAGCCGCCACAGATCGTGATGAAACAGCTGAGATGGCAAGCACTACCTACGCATGTCGTTCCTGCCCGCCGTTCCTGCCCGTCGTTCCTGCCCGACCTGCTCATAGACAGAACCCTCTTTCCTTCCCTTCTCCATCACCCCATCCCTTCCCCTTTCCCTACACCTTCCCATATCTCCCTGCACCCCTCTCTACTACCCCACACCAGCGCCGCATCGCATGTCATTACCTGCACTCGTGGTTCCTTCCTCCTCCACCTGCTCTCTTCCCTGCCCATGCACCCATGCCTTTACCTTCTCCTTGCCCCCTCCTCTGTGCCCCTGTCCCCCTCCCCTTCCCCCGCCAGCGCCGCATAGTGTGGCATTACCTGCACACTTGGTTCCTGCTCCACCTGCTCTCGTCCCTGCCCATGCAACCTGCGCCTTCTCTCCTGCTCTCCTCCCCTGCCCCGTCTCCCCCTACTCCTCTCATCAGCGCCGCATAGTGTGGCACTACCTGCGCACATGGTTTCTACTAGACCTGCTCTCATCGCTCCCCATGGATCTCATCATCTCCCTCACCACCACCTCCTCCTCTGGCTTCTGGATCTCCACCGTGAGTGCTCCAAGGGGTTGCCGCCGAGAGTGCTTGATATTTTGAGCCTTTTCTCACCACTGATCCCTCCACTCACCCCTATCCGCTCATGCTTATCCCCTTCCTCTCCTCGCTCCCCATGGATCTCATCATCTCCCCCACCTCGCCACCGCCCCCCTGCCTGCAGGTGTTCCGAGCGCTGAAGCTCTTCCGCATGCGGCGCCTGCTGAACGCCACGGACCAGCTCAGGACGTCCTTCCTGCGCTCCACGTGGATGGAGCTCACCGTGCTCATCCTCCAGGTGGGTGGGTCAGAGTGGGTGGGTGGGACTGCAGGTGGGTGGGACTGCAGATGGGTGGGACTGCAGATGGGTGGGTGTGTGACACTCAGGCTGGTGGGTACACATGTTTCAGTGGGATTGTTGTGGTAAGGAGGCTCAAGAAATCACCGCCACTCACCCTCTCGTGGATACACGTCCATGCCCCCCTCTCCACTGCATTCTTTCATCTGCCTCTGCCTGCCCCACCTCACCCCGCCTGCCCCGTCTACCCCACCTCACCCCGTCTACCCCTGCTTTCCTCACCGAATCCTGTCTTCTCCCCGGTCGGTCTGTCCCTCCGTCTGCCCCAGATCTGCCTGCTCTGCCACTCACTCACTCTCTGTCTACATGCCACTCTTCTCCTCCAGATCTGCCTGCTCTGCCACTCACTCACTCTCTGTCTGCATGCCACTCTTCTCCTCCAGATCTGCCTGCTCTGCCACTCACTCACTCTCTGTCTGCATGCCACTCTTCTCCTCCAGATCTGCCTGCTCTGCCACTCACTCACTCTCTGTCTGCTTGCCACTCTTCTCCTCCAGATCTGCCTGCTCTGCCACTCACTCACTCTCTGTCTGCATGCCACTCTTCTCCTCTAGATCTGCCTGCTCTGCCACTCACTCACTCTCTGTCTGCATGCCACTCTTCTCCTCCAGATCTGCCTGCTCTGCCACTCACTCACACTCTGTCTGCATGCCACTCTTCTCCTCCAGATCTGCCTGCTCTGCCACTCACTCACTCTCTGTCTGCATGCCACTCTTCTCCTCCAGATCTGCCTGCTCTGCCACTCACTCACTCTCTGTCTGCATGCCACTCTTCTCCTCCAGATCTGCATGTTCTGCCACGTGGGCGGCGCGTTTAGAGTCGACTATAAACGGACTGGATTGCCTCCTTCTGCTCACTCGTTCTGTCCCCGTCTCCCCGCTCTGCCCCTTCTTCTGACCCTCCGTCTGCCCCAGATCTGCATGTTCTGCCACGTGGGCGCGTGCATCTTCGCTCTGATTGGCCGGCTCGAGCCAGAGGGCCAATCGTGGCTCGCCACCTTCTTCTGGGATGACAACGGGGAGGCGCAGCCGCTGGAAACAGCGCCGCCATTTGTCGCCTACGTGGCAGCCATCTATTGGTCCATGGTCACCTTTGCCTCGGTGAGATGCCCTGCACATGCCTACTGGATATTGTGATACCGCTTATTGCCTACATGGCAGTCATCTACTGGTCCATGGTCTCCCCTGCCTCGGTGCGATCTCATCCCCTCTTCGTTCGTCCTTCTCCTCTCATCCCCTCTTCGTTCGTCCTTCTCCTCTCATCCCCTCTTCGTTCGTCCTTCTCCTCTCATCCCTTTCCTTCCATCCTACAACCTGCTCACAACCATCGTGCTGGGGCTGTGCTGTTGTGTGATGTGACATCTCTCACTCCACACCCGCATGCCCCACTCTCAATACTCCATGCCCTTCATTCACGTTCTTTCTATGCTCATGGTTCTCTTTGTGTGCAGGTGGGCTATGGTGACATCTACCCCCAAAACACTATCCCTGAGCGTATCTTTGGCATGCATGCTCAGAGCTAATGCTCTCTGTTCCTCCCTCCATGCCCCATTGCATGCTCATCATTCATATGCTCACACTCCAGGTGGGATACGGTGACATCTACCCCCAGGACACCATCCCAGAGCGCATCTTCGGCACCATTTACAACCTGCTCGCAGCCATCATGCTGGGCTATGCTGTCGGTCAAATCACCTCCTTAATCTACGCCAGCAGGTAATTTCCTCCTTAATCTACGCCAGCAGGTAATTTCCTCCTTAATCTACGCCAGCAGGTAATTTCCTCCTTAATCTACGCCAGCAGGTAATTTCCTCCTTAATCTGTGCAATCAGGGCGAGGACTCCTCAATCTACTCAGTCCGCCATGCACCCATCAAACTGGGCAACACTGTCAGCCACAGGCCCAGAAGCCAGTGCCGTTCCGTGCTGGTTTTTTTGTCATTCTTGTGCCAGGCCTCGTCCGACCGCTTCTGACCTCTTTCTAACCTCTGCTTCTGCCACTATCCATGACTCTGCCGCTGTCTCTGCCTGTTCTTCTGCCTCTGCTTCTGCCTGTGCGTCCACCCCCACAGGGAGCGTCGGGAGAATGCAAGGCAGCGATTTGGAACACTCCACAAGTGCGTACCTCCGCGCTCCCCTTTGCCCTCCTCATTCCATGCTCGGGAACTATCCACAAGTTACAAGTCTGAACAGTGCCCAACCCCTCTTGGTTTCCAGCCCGTCTCCCCTTTCCCATCCCTCTCCCGTCCCCGTCCCCTCTCCCGTCACCTGTCTGCATCCCTCTCTTCCCCCCAAATCCTCCCTTCCAAACGCTTTAGAACCCATATCCTCCCTCATCTCCCTCCCTCATGTCCCCCCAATGCCTGCCCGCCTCCCCGCCCGCCTACATGTTGCCAGGTTCATTGAGAGGGAGGAGCTTCCAGAGTGGCTTGCCAACCGCCTGGTGAGTCGCCCAGGTTTATGGTTGTGAGGTGCCTGGTAAGTCACCCGCCTGCATGGGGCCAGGTTCATTGAGAGGGAGGAGCTTCCAGAGTGGCTTGCCAACCGCCTGGTGAGTCGCCCAGGTTTATCGTTGTGAGGTGCCTGGTAAGTCACCCGCCTGCATGGGGCCAGGTTCATTGAGAGGGAGGAGCTTCCAGAGTGGCTCGCCAACCGCCTGGTAAGACACTCGGGCGATTCTGTAGTGACTAATGGGAATCTGCAAGAATGACTTGATCAAGCTACCCGCTTGTTGCGAAAGCCCCAGACGATGTTTGCGGTGCCTCAAATTATGTCTCCCTCCCCCCCTCCCCCCTGCAGATGGTGCATCTCACCCGCCAGTGGCAGGCGCAGCTCTCTCAGGTGCTACTCTTTCCCTCCTGTCTCCCCCCTCCGCCCTCCCCACTCCCATCTCCCCCCCGCAGATGGTGCACCTCACCCGCCAGTGGCAGGCGCAGCTCAACTGCAACAGGGGATTGCTTCCTCACCTTTCCTTCCCCCTCTCCCCTTTCCCCTCCCCCCTCGCCCCGCAGATGGTGCACCTCACCCGCCAGTGGCAGGCGCAGCTGTCACAGAAGTTTGATGAGTTTGAGCTCATGGAGAGCCTCACGGTGAGAGGAATGAGGGCTAGTGGGCAGCTTATGCTGCGAGGGCTCATCGGGAGCTGAAACGCATGTGGAGACTCACCAGTTCCGCCAGTGGCAGGCGCAGCTGTCGCGAGGTTTGACGAGTTTGAGCTCATGGAGAGTCTCACGGTGAGAGGCTATGGTGTGATGGGCTGCATGAGGTGAGCCACAACACAAGGAGAAAGAAAGTCACGGAGAGAGCAATGAGGGCAAAGGCGAGTGGGTCCTTAGTGCAAGGGCTTGTTGCGTGAGGGCTCATGGAGAGGGATGGTGCGAGGGCGAGAGCGTTAGCGCGCTGATGGAGAGACTGACAGTGGTTTTTATTTTGTGTTTCAATCCAATGGTGTTTGCTTTTGCGTGTTTATTAGCCAGCGGTGGTTTCCATTTTTGCGTGTGTGGCAGGAGGACCTCCGGGGTGATCTCTTTGTGCATTGGTGGCAGCGCAGCATTGCCGTGAGGTGAGGGCTGTTGCCGTGTGGTGAGGGCTGTTGCCGTGAGGTGACATCCATCGTTATTGTTGAGGTGCCTAACAGATAGGCTTCATCACACTGACCTCCGGGGAGACCCCTTTGTGCACTGGTGGAAGCGCAGCATCGCCGTGAGGTGAGTTCTGTTACGCAAAGACACACTAGGTGAGTGCCATTGCTGCTCTTGAGGTGCCTAAACAAGATATTGCATCAGACTGTGCTTGTCGTAGTGTGCTCAGCCCATTGTGCGCTTGTCGCACCGTGCACCTCAAAAAAGGATTCTCGAGGTGCCTCATACACACCGGACACGCAGGTGCATTCTTAAGTGTATTCTTAAGTGTATTCTTAAGTGCATTCTTAAGTGTATTCTTAAGTGTATTCTTAAGTGCATTCTTAAGTGTATTCTTAAGTGTATTCTTAAGTGTATTCTTAAGCCATATGTGAGGTAGCTTAAGAGTCTGCTCCCACACGCTACGCTCCTCCCCATATTCCCAGCCCCATCCTCCCGCACAGCCATGCGTTTATAGCGAAGCTGCTGGGGGCGCTGGTGTTGCGGCGAGTAGCAGCAGGCGAGTTCATCTGTGCGGAGGGGGAGGTGAGCCGGCACCTCTACATCCTGCGCGCCGGCACTGCTGATGCCACGTGGATTAAGACTCCCGAGGACGAGAAGGAGAAGGAAGAGGGGGATGGGGTTGGGGAGATGGCTTTGGGGTCGATTCAAAAGTCACTGCAAGCTGGCGCTGCTGATGCCTCATGGATTAAAACGCCAGAGGAGGAAGAGGGGGTTGGAATGAGGGAGATTGCGGAGGAGGAGGGGGGGGAGGAGGGTGGGGAGGAGGGGATGGGGGGGGGTCGGGAGAGGAGGGGGGACGGGGAGGAGGATTGGGGAGAGGGTAGTAATGGTGGGTGGAGGGGGGGAAGGGGAGGGGAAAGGAGAGAGGAAGGAGGAAGGAGAGAGGGGGGAGGCGTTTTGATTGAAGAGGAGGAGACGAGTGCGAATGAGCTGGGCGAGGAAGAGGTACGGAGTGCAATTCTCTCCTTTGGTTTTTGAGAATTCTCAAAAACCAGCTGGTACGGAGTACAATGTTTTTTTCTCCTTTGGTACGTAAAGGGTACTAACGAGCACTCTCTTGTTGTTTAGTGAAAATGTAGCGTATGCTTGATCCGATATGTGAAGGCTAAATGAGGTAGGGCACTACCTCCCTCATCCGCTCCATCCCACTCCTTACTCCTTTCAAAAATAACTATTTTTGTCCTCCCTCCCTCCCTTCTCCCCCCTCCACGCACGCCCCCCTCTTCCCATCAGCAGCATCCCTTCGTCCCGGCCAACCCCACTGCCTCCCTTATCCACTCCATCCCCACTCTTTACCCCGTTCAAAACAATTTTTTTCTTCCTCCCTCCCTCCCTACTTCCCCCCCCACCCACCCCGCTTCCCATCAGCAGCATCCCTTCGTCCCGGCCAACCCCACTGCCTCCCTTATCCGCTCCAACTCCCAACGCCTCCTCCGCCGCCTCTCCCGCTCCCGCCAACTCTCAATCTCCCACTCCCGCCAACTCTCCATGACCCACTCCCGTCAACTCTCCCTCCGTATCGCCCCCGGGCAAGCCCTCAACATACCCGGCGCTTTCCCGGGGAACCCCGCAATCGCCCCGGGTTCCCACGCGGACCCTCTAGCACTGGCAGCAGCAGCAGCGATGGCAGCAGGAGTAGCAGAAGCGCCGAGGAATCCTCTTGAAATGGTGTTGGAGCAAGAGGGGGGGAAGGTGGAGTTAGAGCATCGGGCGGTGGGGACAGGGTTTGTGATGGGGATGGAGGGGTTGCTAGAGGCGTTTGAAACGCGGATGGAAGAGGAGGAATGGCCGAAACAGAGGGTTTCCCTGATCTGTGTCGAGGCCACGTTTCAGGTGAGGAAGAGAGGGAAGGGGGAAGGGGAAAAGGAGGGGAGAGAGGGTTTATGAGGAGAATGGCCGAAGCGGAGGGTTTCTCTGATCTGTGTCGAGGTCACGTTTCAGGTGAGGAAGAGAGGGAATGGAAAGGGGGAAAAGGGTTAGGTGGGGGAGGGGGAGGAGGGTTTGTGATTGGCATGGAAGGGTTGCTGGAGGCGTTTGAAACGTGCATGGACGAGGAGGAATGGCCGAAACAGAGGGTCGCTCTGATCTGTGTCGAGGCCACGTTTCAGGTGAGGAAGAGAGGGAATGGGAAGGGGAGAAGGGGTTAGGTGGGAAGGGGTTAGGTGGGGGAGAGGGAGACGGGTTTGTGATGGGTATGGAGGGGTTGTTAGAGGCGTTTGAAACGCGCATGGACGAGGAGGAATGGCCGAAACAGAGGGTCGCTCTGATCTGTGTTGAAGCGACATTTCAGGTGAGGAAGAGAGGGAACGGGGAAGGGGAAAAGGAGGGGAGAGAGGGAAGGGGGAAGGGGAAAATGAGGGGAGAGAGGGAAGGGGGAAGGGAAAAATGAGGGGAGAGAGGGAAGGGGGAAGGGGAAAAGGAGGGGAGAGAGGGAAGGGGGAAGGGGAAAAGGAGGGGAGAGAGGGAAGGGGGAAGGGGAAAAGGAGGGGAGAGAGGGAAGGGGGAAGGGGAAAAGGAGGGGAGAGAGGGTTTCTGAGGAGGAATGGCCGAGCGGAGTGTCGCTCTGAAATGCATTGAGGCTACGTTTCAGGTGAGGAAGAGAGGGAATAGGGGAAGCAGGGAAGAGGAACCAGTTATATCCCCTCTCTTGTACCCTCCCCTGTCCCTACCATTCCCCGCCCCCTTTCCTTCTCCTCCCACTCCCCTCCCACTCCTGTCCCCCTCCCCTTCTCACTCTCCTCTCTCCCCCAGGCAAAGACAGAGTGCAAGCTCCTCCTCCTCCTCGATGGTCTATTCAACACGCCGGAGAGTTTCCCCCAGCTGCTGGCTCTCAGTCAACTCACATGTCCACTGCCCCTTGTTCTTACCCCTCTCTTTTCCAGGCCAAGACAGAGTGTGAGCTGCTGCTGCTCCTCCTGGACTATCTATTCGACACACTAGAGAGCTTCCCCCCTGCTGCAGTTGAGTCAATCCACATGTCCGCCCGCCCCTATCCCCCCCTCCACGCCCCTTCCCCCTCCCCTCCCCCCTCCCCCAGGCTAAGACAGAGTGCGAGCTGCTCTTGCTTCTCCTGGACGATCTATTCGACACGCTAGAGAACTTCCCCCAGCTTCTACGCAACATGCGCTTTGCCCTGTGCCCAACCTGTTCCTCCTCTGCCCCTCCCCTCCACTCCTCTGCCCGTCCTCTCCACTCCCCCAGGCCAAGACGGAGTGCGAGCTGCTCTTGCTTCTCCTGGACGATCTATTCGACACGCTAGAGAGCTTCCCCCAGCTGCTCCACGACATGCGCTTTGCCCTGCGCCTGCCCATGGGCGTGCACGAGCAGCAGCAGAACCGCCTGGCGCGCAGCCGTGGCGTTGCTGCTTCCGCTGTGCGCGAGGCATTGGAAAGCCCGTAGGAGAGTCTTCTGAGGCGCCTCAAGAGTGTATGACCACCAGCAGCAGCAGCAGCAGCAGCAGCAGCAGCAGCAGCAGAACTGCCTGTCCAGCAGCCGTGCCTTCTTCCGCCGTGCGCGATGCTTTGGCAAGCGAGTCGGAAGGTCGTTCGAGGCGCCTCAAGAGTGCACGAGCAGCAACAGAGCCGCCTGCCGTGCAGCCGGGCAATCGCTGCTTCCATTGTGCCCGATGCCTTGGCAAGCCAGGAGTCACGAGGAAATAAGACGGGGGAAACTGTCGGGCAAAGTGAATTGCCCGTGACAAGAACCCATCGGCTTCTAGGGAGAAGCAACCGAACCTGATTTGCTTATCGTATGACTAACAACAACACAACACCTTGTTGCCTGCAAGAAGTACATATAGCTACAATATGTTTTGCTCGTGATTACATTCATGTACCGTACTATTGTACCAAAAGTATGTTAAATTATTTATTTTCAGCCCATGAGAGCAAATTCTGTGACGCCTTGTGGGGATGACCCTGGCCTCTGCCATGCTGTGCCATTATGGGGTTTGCATTAGTAGTTAGCAAACTGATCTGAGAGTGACAACACCTTAGGAGGAACTACTGTGCTCAGGGTACAGAGACAGTAGTAGCTGATTGGCCTGTGGCACAAAATTCCAGTAATGATTAGATTAGAAGCAGCTTCACACTTGTGTACACTACAATACAGTTGTAAGAAGTTCTCAGCCAGAGCAGCAGCTCACAAAGTTTGTAATAATCATTATACTGTAGTACGGTACAGTTGGGTTTACAACAAGCAAGATACACAACAACATACCGTACACAATGAACTACAAACTGGCGCCCTACCACCCCCCACGGAGTGGGCTACTACCCTCTCAATGAGAGCTTCATTCTCTCCAACGGTCTCCCCGAAAGGGCAACCTTTTCGATCATGTCGTACCCCCCAATCTCCCGCTCCAAACCAGCACCCAGCAACTCTCATTGAGAAGGAATAGCCTACTCCCCCCTCCCCCCCCCCCCCCCCCCCCCACTCCAATCTACCATCCCGTGCCATCTATCAGTTGACAGCGCTGCAGGGGCAGCGAATCTCCCCCTTCCCCCCCCTTCCCCCGTGACAGTGAGCACTCCCTCTGCGCTGCGGCCATCCACTTCATGGACTAGCAGAGCTGGCAGAAGAACGACTCCCTGCCGGAAGCGTAACGTCCGAAGCGTAACGGTCCACCAGCCCACTTCCAATCCACCATCCCGGGCCACCCATTACTAGTTGACTGCGCTGCAGGTGCGGCGAATCCCCCCCTGCGTGCCAGTGAGCACGCCCGCTTCGCCCATGCGAATCATGGAGTGGCTGAACTGGCGGAAGAACGCCCCCCTGTCCGAAGCATACAGACCCACCCCACCAACCCGTTCCCAATCCCCCATCCCCGGCGCTACCATCCCGGGCCACCCATTACTAGTTGACTGCGCTGCAGGTGCGGCGAATCTCCCCCTGCGTGCCAGTGAGCACGCCCGCTTCGCCCATGCGAATCATGGAGTGGCTGAACTGGCGGAAGAATGCCCTCCTGTCGGAAGCGTAACGGTTCACCAGCTGCCGAGTGCGCGAGTCGATCGCCAGCACCTGGTCGCTCGACAGCAGCCCGAATTTCCGCTGAAGGTTCTGGAAGTACTGCGGTGCGGAGAGATATAGGGAGGATGGAGCAAGGGAGGGGTAGAGATGGTGGAAGAGTGAATTGCGATTCCTCTAAGATTCACTGAAACTAAAGCCAAGAATCTGAACTAAAGGAAAGACGCATCTAGGCATGTTAAAAAAAGCGTCACGGTGGTGCATCGGAATCAAAAGCTAGGGCACATTGGCGTGCAGTGGCTGAAGACAAGGAAGAATATGAGAGAAAGAAGAAACGTTAGGGAATTAGAAGGAAAAGTTCGGGCAGCTCACGTGATTGTCGAATGTAGAGCTGCTGGAGCTATCGAGGTCAACAAAAATCTTCTCGTCGACATTGGGAGCCTTGCACTGGCCGTCAAGGTAGTCCCGCAACTGAGGAGCCATCGACGAGTCGCTGTTGGGCGCGATTCGGTGCGCGACGGAGCCGCAGCTCGCGTCGCCGATCGTGTGCGCGCCGGCGAGCGTGACGAGGTCCACGAGTGTGAGGTTCGCCACGGCGAAGTTTTTCAGAAGCTCATTCACGTTCATCCGGTGACCGGGCATGGACGTCGACGCAAGCGCCGCGGAGGAGGTGCGCGAATCGCGGCGACCCATGTCCACAGGCCAGAACGGACCGCCAGCCTGGGGGGGGACACGGGGCAACCAGAGACGAGTTTAGGCATAGTCCCTGAGTGGATACCCTTGCATGCATCGCTTTTGATCGCTCGAGCACCGGGTCATTCTTTGTGACGGTGCGGGAATCGCGGCGGCCCAGGTCCACAGGCCAGAACGGACCGCCAGCCTAGGGAGGGACACGGGGCAAGCAGGGACGAGTTTTGAGGCGCCGCGGATTTACTTTTGAGGCGCCGCGAATCGCGGCGGCCCAGGTCCACAGGCCAGAACGGACCGCCAGCCTGGCGCCGCGCGACACAAGGCAGCAAGAGACAAGGATGATTCAACGCGTAAACAGCAGCATGGGCCGTGGCGGGAGGGATATAGGCGCATGATGGATGCTGGAAGTATGATACGTTTAGCGGCAGCAATGCAGCGCATTTAACCGAGAATCGATGATCTCGAAGCCGCGGAGTGTCAGGTTGGGTGGCGCTTACCAGAACGACGCCGTCGCGCGCGGCGAGCGTGACAATGTCGGCGCAGCTGACGACGCCCGGGCATTGCGCCTCGACGGTCTCCTTGATGCGGTCGATGATGTCGTATCCGTGGAGCGTCAGATTGGGCGGCGCGTCTTTCTCCGCCTGGTTGTCCGACGTGGAGTCGATTAGCACAGACCCATCGCAACCCTGCGACGCGGCGTAGGCAAAGTTAAGAGAATGCCGTCACAATAAGTCGCCCAAGTTTCTTGGCCTGTAGTACTGCACGACGCATTTGGCCGTTGTGCGCGACGCGGCGTAGGAGAAGATAATGACGAACTGGATCAGATCCATATTCGAATCATGCGAAACATAAGCGAGTTACTCGGAGGAATGTAATCGACAAGGAGCTCGTAGTGGTACCTGAACGAAGCAGAGAGGTTCGTAGTGGTATCTGAACGAAGCAGAGAGGTTCGTAGTGGTATCTGAACGAAGCAGAGAGGTTCGTAGTGGTACCTGAACGAAGTAGTCGTGGAAATGGAGGCGCAGAAGCGGCGCGGGGACGAGTTTGTTTTTCATGTATTCGTCGCGGACGATATCTCGCACAATCCCCTCGACGCCCGGGCACGAGATCTTGTAATAGTCCCTCCTCAATAGACCACCTCTGCCTCCACCTCCTCCTCCACCTCGGCCTCCTCCGCCTCCGCCTCCGCCTCCGCCTCCGCCTCCGCCTCCGCCTCCGCCTCCCGGTGGGCCACCTCCACCTCCGTCTCCGCCTCCTCCTCCGCCTCCCGGTGGACCGCCTCCGCCTCGCGGTGGGCCACCTCCGCCTCCGCCTCCGCCTCCGCCTCCGCCTCCGCCTCCGCCTCCGCCTCCTGGTGGGCCGCCTCCGCCTCCACCTCCACCTCCAGGTGGACCTCTTCCTCCTCTTCCACCTCCACCTCCGCCTCTACCTCCAGGGCGTTGTGCATGAGACGTACGCCATGCGGCGTTGACAAGCACGAGCAGCAGGAGCAATGGCAATACACGAGCCATAACGGGAAACCTAATGTGGGAAGCCCAGCTTTTATCCACACAAATAGCGGCGCGGGCACTTCCGCATCCAGAACAGAACAGAGCAGAGGTTGAGCGGCTCGGATTTGTGCATGTTTTCTAGTACGGTATGCTACGGTGTGGGGGATTCCCCACGTGCAAATGATGCTTGATTCCTCGTGTGCGGTGCGGAATTCCTCCCCACGTATGCATCCCCGCGCGATAAACAAAAGGGGGGTCAAACATTTTCGGTTCAACACTTTTCTTTGGAAGGATTTCGTGAGGAATTCTGTGGACTGTAGAAATTCGTGAAGTGTTACCTTTGTCGCGAATTTCAGGTTCCCATCGATTGGGTTCGTAATTGAGTGCACTGTTCACGACTGTCGCAAAGCTCCCCACCACAACTTTCCAGCAGATTCGTCAGGAGGTTTCAGCAGAGGTGCCTCTTTAAAGTTGGACCCAATAACACGAAAGGAATTTGATTAGAAACAACGTCCCATTTGTCGTACAATAACAAGCTCATCTAATAAACTCTCAATTGGAGGAGCAACTCTGCACTGGTAACAAACCGGACCCTTGTGCGTTTCCCGACATAATAAGGTCATTATTACACCCTGCTTTGTCAGCAACATCATAAAAATCATACGAGATAGGCTATCCCTAAGATACTGCCTCTAGTCAAACTAGGCCAGTCAGGACCTAGAGTCAGTGAATCCAACTAAAAGTCAACCTAGCCCGTACCACGCTCTAAGCTACTACCCCTCCATGCTCCTCCAATCCACCATCCTACCATGCTCTTACAGAGAGAGGACAGCCTACACCTCCCTCTCCAAATTGACCATCCCGCCATCCATCAGTTGACGCGGCTGCATTCGCGGCGGATCTCCCCCTCTTCGCCAGTGAGCACGTTATTTGCCCCCATGCGCAGCATGGAGTGGCGGAACTCGCGAAAAAAATCCTCCTGGTCTGCTGCGTAACGGTCCACGACGTCGCGAGTGCGCTCGTCGATCGCCAGCACCTGGTCGCTCGACAGCAGCCCGAACTTCTCCTGGAGGTTCTTGTAGTACTGCAGAGAGAACATGGGGAGGGGCGAGCGAGGGGCAAAGATGGTACAGGAATCTCATGAAGGTTCTGCCAGGCTAAATCCGTATACACATCCCCAAATCTGTTCCACTCAGATACCACGATCACTCGTGCTGGTAGTAATGGAGAGACATCAACTGAAGGGAGGGGTGAGTTCCTCCTTGCCCTTCACCAAGCCACGCTCTCAGGGTTTAGGATGGCTCAATTTGCCTACGCAAGATAGAAAATTTGTGCTCACCTGGTTGTCGAATCGGTTTTTGGTCTTGAAGTCGAGGTTCACTTCTTTGCTGGAGTCCACGTCGGGAGCCCTGCACTTGTCTTTGAGCTTCTCCCTCAGCGAGTTCGCCATCGTGGAGTCTTGATTTGGCGCGATACGGTGCTCGACGGTGTCGCAGTGCGCGTCGCCGATCGTGTGCGCGCCGGAGAGCGTCACGAGGTCGAGGCGCGTGAGGTTTACGGCGGCGAAGTTTTTCACAAGCTCGTCCACATTCATGCGGTGACCGGGCATAGCCGCCACCGCACGAGACGCCCTGGAGGAGCGCGAATCGCGGCGACCGAGCTGCGTATCGATGTACGGGCCGCCAGCCTGCCCGGCACGAGCCAACCAAGGACGGAGATCAAGGGGATAAATTCGATGTGTGAAAACGCATTGTGGATGGCGTGCCTGGGTGAAATAAGTACTGATAAAAACGCCGTGGGGGCAAACACGGCAGTATTGTCGCAACGGAAAGGCGGGAAGTCGGCGCGGCGGCTGAAGGTGATGCTTACCAGAACGACGCCGTCGCGAGCGGCGAGAGCGACGATGTCGGCGCAGCTGACGACGCCGGGGCACTCCGCCTCGACGGTCTCCTTGATTTTGTCGATGATGTCGAACGCGTGGAGCGTCAGGTTGGGCGGCGCGTCTTTCTCCGCCTGATTCTCCGACGTCGAGTTGATCAGAATAGAACCATCGCAACCCTGCGCCGCGTAGGCAGGATAATAGGCGATGATAAATATTAATACGAGAAACTCCAGATATCCAAGGGGAATAAAGGAGCCGGGAAGGAGTTCGTGGTACCTGAACGAAGCAGTCGTGGAAATGGAGGCGAAGAAGCGGCGCGGGGAGGGTTTCGTCTTTGATAAACTCTTCAAAAACGACATCTCGAACGATCGACGTGAGGTACGGGCATGAGTCTCGGTAAAAGTCTCTGCTCAATCGGCTCGAGCCGTATTCATCGGCATGCGACGTACGCCATGCGGCGGTGACAAGGAGCAGCAGCAGGAGCGACGGCAATCCACGAGCCATGATAACGGAAAGTTGAACAAAAGGGAAACGTCACGTATACGAAAAGGGGTTGGCTGAAGGTTGAACAAATGTGGATTGAAGTTGGTGGTAAGCAAGCCCCCCGATTTTATAAACACATTGAGGCGCGGGCACTCCCACGGCCAGGCCGTAGGACAGAGCACAGCCGGAGCGGCTCTGGGCTGGTGTGCTTGTAGGGGGTTCAGCAAACAGAACGAAGCCACAATGGAGCGGCTCGGGATTCTGTGTGCTTTTGACTGGGGAATTGCACACGTGCGTTTCCTGACTTGAACACATCTTGACTGGGATATACGAGGCCACCACTTTTGATTGATAAGTCGAGTTTTGGTTCTGCGCGCGAAGAACTTCGGGGAGTTCGTGGACAGATACAGCTGTTGTATAAATCAGTTATGCAGCAACGAACGAAAACGCGAAGTCTCCTGGGTTCGTTTGCGAGTTTCGCCATAGAACTGAACCAGATCTGGAAGAACCAAGCCGCAAGAGAATTTGGCGCAAGTCAAGATAAGCTATTAGCACAGGTCACAATAAAGAAGATAAAGACATAGCACATGGTCGTGAATAACAAGTGCATAAAACTATTGTAACGACTTAGGTGATTGTTTGCATGAAGAATCGAAGGATTTTGTATAAATACTGGGATATTGGAGGGAATGTAAAGGTTCCCACCACCACAAGGGTCCTCCAACCCAGCGTGGACTTTCGTAGATAAATGATTTCCAACCCAAATAACTCTTGCTAATAGAGGTTGAATATCGGACCCTAATGAATGTTGGAATAACCGAAAGGTTAAAGCAACATTCTCGAAGAATCATCATTAGGATATCTACAATACAAAGCAGGAAATTAGGATAACTACAATACAGCTAGAACTACATGCAGTTATCATAATATAACTCTGACAGAGGTTACGCGATGCAATATGGTAACTGTCGAGAATGGCAATAGTCGCAGTTACTGTAGCTATGCAATACAGTTAATCAGGGAATGCACCCCTCATAGTACATGGCTAGCTAGTTTGCTATTTATACCCTTGTATTTCTATCTCATAATCATCTTGTTCTCTTTCAACTTTTATTAACAAAGTCATTACAAAGACTTCATTGTCTTCTCCTAGACTTAGCAGACTTATTATATCCACTACGATCTTTCATTATCACAACAATGAACACCACAACAGTTATGGTATCTACACTGTATATACAAGCGATGTGAGTTCAATAGCAGATCACCTTGGAGTGACTAAAACCTGAAGTTGTCTATTTTTCTTTAGCTATTGTACAATAGTAGTGATGGCTTGCTAGTCAATGAGGTGGTCTCAAGTGTATTTCGTGCGAGTGACGTGGCTCTGCATGGCTCCGTCGGCCTTTGCTCAAATAGGGTGCCCCTGAATGAACTCTAACGATTGGGGACAAGATCTTGTTCGTGGACAGGGTAAACATGGACCGATTATTCCTCCGTGCGTGGCATATTCCACCTCCTTGCAGCGTCAGATTCTGTCGTACAAGCGCTAGTATTCGCTGGATAATAAAATTATGTTTATTCCTTCGTGTTAAATAAGCCAATCATCCAAGGCCACCTGACTAGCCAATAACAAGGGCAGGTTAGTAACTAGGTGTTGGACAGCTTCCCTCCAAATTTCTTCAAAACCAGACCAGAAACTGTGACGTGATTGGTTCCAGACCAAAGCTCTTGGTTTTCTCTGCCAGAATGAGACATCGAAGTTAGGTAATCACGAGGCGCTCCCTAGGTGCTCGCCTGCGTCTCTTGGAGTTCCCTAGTTCCCGCCCACCCGTCAGGTAACCTGGAGGCGCACGCTTTACCTAGATTCCAGCAACGCCTAAGAGCTGTCTAGCTTGGGTAGACTGTTGCTGGAACCAGGCATAATTCAGCCGTACTTTCACGCTGATGCTAATCGGACACGGGCACTACGCAAGGATCTGTACATATGATCCAATTTCGTTGAATCTTCGGTCTCCAATTTCCGCAGCCAGTCACTTCAATCCTGCTGAACCATCAGCTGCTTAGGAGTTGCTGGAATTTTCTACCATGTCTGCTCAATTTGCCGCGTGCCATGCTGCGGCTGGCGTCTCTGCCACGCTAGTAAATACCACCCAATTCGCCAATGTTTCGAGCGTGTCCCACGCCGTGAAGCCCGCTCTTAGCTTCACCTCGCATGTGCGGCGGCTCGCGTCGCACAGCAAGGGCTCCGTTGCCAGGTCACCTGGCCTAGTCCACGTGGCCGCCATTTCCGCGTCAATGTCCGAAGATGTGGAGGGTAATTATCTTTCTTCCGAAGCAGAGTCCACAGCAACAGCCCTGTCAAATATGAATTCGGAGATTTCACGTGCCCCTGGGGACGATTCTTTGCAAGCTGCTCCATTGACTCAAGCGGGGTCTGCTGTAGCTGAGCCAGCTGTAGCGGCGCCGGCTGTAGCAGAGTCCGCTGTAGCGGAGCCGGCTGTAGCGGAGCCGGCTGTAGCGGGCCCGAACGAGTTGGTGGAGGACGGCGCGGTGATCGTGCGAGACGACCTGGACGAGCTGCTGCACTGCCTGCCGGGAAACCTTCGCGGAAACCTGCTGCAGCACCCTCGCAGATCGGAGCTCCTCGAGGTGCGCCCGGGAGCCTCGCGTTTTGAGTCGACTCATAACACCACCGTTTCGTCGCCACCCGTGCCACCTCTTCCCTGATCCTTCCCACGTATTCCATCCTACCTCCTTCCCCAACCCACCACTGGGTTACCGTCCCTTCCTGCTCCCTTCCCTCTTCCCCCTACCCCGTTCCCCGTTTACCATACCCCTTATCCTTCCCGCTTCCCCCTTTCCGCTTCCTGCTCGCTTCTCCTCGCCGTCCGTATCAGGTGGTGTTGGATCTCGGCCGTCGACCCGAGGCGCGCTTTCTGGGCGACGGGGGGGCTGAGTACCTTCAGGAAGCCGAGGTAAGCTGTAATTAGGAGGTAAGTAGGCTTAGAGAGGTACGTGTATTAAAGTGGTGGGTTGGTGAGAGGGGAAAGTAGGATGAGAGAGGAAAGCAGAATGAGAGAGGAAGTAAGATTAAAGAGGGAGTTGAAGTAGCTCTATAGGAGAATTGCTGACACGTGCCTTCGTTTCTTGCCCTGCTGACGTGGCACAGGTCACCCGCGCGGATCTCGAATCCGCCTGCGAGTCCATCGGCGCGTTTGGCGGCGACAATCGCGCTGGCGTGGAGGGAACGCTCCATCGCATCAGCGCCATCCGCAACCGCAAGGGTGACGTGGTCGGGCTGACGTGTCGCGTGGGGCGCGCTGTCACCGGCCACGTGGACATGGTCCGCGATCTGCTGCACCACGGGCAGAGCCTGCTGTTTCTCGGAAGGTTCGTGTGCTGGGTCATTCCGTCTACTCTGTTCTCTCTTCAGTCTGTCCCATCTTTATCAAGACCGTCTCTCTCAATTCCCAAGGTTGTCTTTCTGAACCCAAACGTTCTCTCCCCGCCTTCCCCAGCACCGTATATCCCCCCCTCCTTCTCGACCTCTTCTCCCTTCTCTTTCCAATTCGTGCAGGCCTGGGGTAGGCTAAACGACAGTGATTCGCGAAATAGCGCGAGTGCCGGCGGACGAGATGCACATGCGAGTGGTGATAGTGGACACAAGCAACGAGACGAGATGGATGGGGGGACGGTGACGTGCATAACGTATTCTTGCCCCTCCCTGATTGAACTTTCCTTGTCCTTTTTTCGCTCCGCCAGACCTGGTGTCGGCAAGACGACCGTGATTCGTGAAATCGCGCGAGTGCTAGCAGACGAGATGCAGAAAAGAGTTGTCTTAGTGGACACGAGCAACGAGATCGGGGGCGACGGGGACGTGCCTCACCCCGCGATTGGCGGCGCGCGGCGCATGCAGGTGCCGGATCCAGCGCTGCAGCACCGAGTGATGGTGGAGGCCGTGGAGAATCACATGCCGCAGGTGAGATGACTGAGAGGCATGTGAAGTATTGGCTCCGTATGTGCGTGGGTGGGCGCATGCAGGTGCCGGACCCTACTCTGCAGCACAGGGTGTTGAGAATCACATGCCGCAGGTGAGTGAGGGGGAGATGGCTCAAGTGCGTGGTTTGTTGACTCAATAGGTGCATGCAGGTGCCGGATCCTGCACTGCAGCACCGCGTGATGGTGGAAGCCGTGGAGAACCACATGCCGCAGGTGAGAGAGAGGGGGATGCTGCATGCTGCATGCTGCATGTTGCATGTTGCATGTTGCATGCAGAATGCCACGGGTAAGAACAGGACGCGATCCTGCCTGTGCCTACAGGTGGTGATTGTGGACCAGATCGGCATGGAGGCAGAGGCTCTGGCGTGGCTGACGATAGCCCTTTGAGACGCCTCAAACTCACACACCTCTTCCCTGCCCGTGCCTGCCTGTGTGACTGCCTGTGCCTGCTGGTGCGTGCCTGTGCCTGCTGGTGCGTGCCTGTGCCTGCTGGTGCGTGCCTGTGCCTGCTGGTGCGTGCCTGTGCCTGCTGGTGCGTGCCTGTGCCTGCTGGTGCGTGCCTGTTCCTGTCTGTGACTGCCCGCCTCTGCCCACAGGTGGTGATAGTGGACGAGATCGGCACAGAAGCAGAGGCTCTGGCATGCAGGACGATAGCGGAGAGGGGTGTGATGCTGGTGGGCAGTGGGCACGGCACACGGGCAGCTGCTAGAGACCCCCTGCCTGTTCCTATCTGTGCCTTTCCTGCCCCTGCCTACAGGTGGTGATAGTGGACGAGATTGGCACAGAGGCAGAGGCCCTAGCATGCAGGACGATAGCGGAGAGGGGCGTGATGCTGGTGGGCAGTGGGCATGGCACACGGGCAGCTGCTAGTGACCCCCTGCCTGTTCCTATCTGTGCCTTTCCTGCCCCTGCCTACAGGTGGTGATAGTGGACGAGATTGGCACAGAGGCAGAGGCCCTAGCATGCAGGACGATAGCGGAGAGGGGCGTGATGCTGGTGGGCAGTGGGCACGGCACACGGGC